CCTAGAAATACAAAGTCTGTCACGGCCTCCACGGTTTCTCCCTCTATTTTCCAGTTGTCAATCATTCTTGTTGCCATAATCTTGGTTTTTTTGACGTTTAGCTGCAACCCGGCTTTTGCGCTTTCTTCTTTCCCCTTGATTAGAAGGCTCCTCAGCTCCTCCTCGCTTTCGGCCATCAGAGTGGTGTCATCTGCATATCTGAGGTTGTTAATGTTTCTTCCAGCAATTTTCATGACAGCTAACAAAGGTTCTTAGTTCAAGCCCAAGCAGAAAATTCTGATGGAGATGTATGTTTGGTTTACTTATTTGGTCTATTTTTTTCTCACATCCTCCCTGCCTTAGGAAGAAAGTAATATATGAACTACTAGGGTGTGCAAAATTTCATTTTAATTAGTAAGTCATATCTAATCGATACGTTTTGTATACTGTATATATTTGAGTATAAGCCTAGTTTTTCAGCTCTTGTTTAGGGCTGAAAAAGCCCCCTTTGGCTTATACTCGAGTTCCTATTTCTGGCCAGCTCTGAGCCTGGGCCTGGTTGGTGGGGGCCCGGCTCAGTGCTTAACTGCACTCCCCGTGTGGGCCTCTGCATCACTGCAGCCTTCCTCCTCCTCCCAGGGCTGGGGTGCCATCGCTGCTGATGCCAGAGCGCATGCAGCAAGAAGACCAAGGAATGCCTCCTCCTCATGGGGCCAGGGTGCCTTCTCTCTTCTCACCACAACAAGAGAGAAGAAGAGAGAGATGCGCGGCGGTGTCCCTCACTCTTTTTGCCACATGCACAAGCCTCCCTTTGTTTTCTCGCTGTTTACTCCTGTGGTTGCAGTGCCCTGGCATTAAAGAAAGGGAAAATTACTCACAGCGAGGGCATAGAGATGCCAAACGGACAAACCATAAAATGCAATCAGCTTGAAGCCTATACATATCTGGTGATCTTGTCTACTGAGTGATCTTGTCTACTGAGGACTCATCTTGTTGTGTTTCAAGTAATAATAATAATAATAATAATAATAATAATAATAATAGGATCTGCATGCATTATTCACCAATGCATCACACAGTCCTAGACGCTTGGGAAGATCCAATAAAATAGCAAGCAGAGTGACTTTGTTTGCTGTGTACTAAGCTTTTTGTGTTTCAAATAATAATAATGCTTTTATACCCCCATCTCCCCCAAGGGACTTGGGGAGGCATACAGCAAGCAACAAAATATAAACAGTAAATAATAAACAACATCAATAAACAATTATCATTTCGTACAATTTAAAATAACATGAGTATTAATAAAAATTTAAAAGCTATTTGCCCTCTAAAAACTATCTATCTATCTATCTATCTATCTATCTATCTATCTATCATCTATCTATCTAATCACTGTTTAAATTAAATCAGTCATTTCTATTGTTGAGATATCCAGAGGGAGGACCTGAGCTAAAACAATACCTCCACCAGCTCACTGAAAAAGTCTTGGTGACCGAGAAGATCCTAGCAGACTTCAAGGACACCACTACCATCACCCTTTTCAAAAAGGGGAGAAAAGACAGACTTTGGAAACTATCGAGGTATCTCCCTTTTAACTTTCTCTGGAAAAATCCTTGCAAGAATCCTTGCAAGCTGCCTTCTATTGATCTCTGAAGACATCCTTGCTGAATCCTGGAATGGCTTCCACCCCTCCAGAGGAACAGTTGATAAGATCTTCTCTGCAGGACAGCTCCAAGAAAAATGCAGGGGACAAAATCTGTCCCTGTACATGGCATCCATTGACCTTGCAAAGGCATTTGACACAGTGAATTGCAATGCTCTCTGGTTGAACATCCTGAGGTTCATCCATGATGACATGACGGCAACAGTCTTGAACATTAATTACTCCCAAAGTGACCCATTTAAAGTGGAATCAGTTGTCAAACAGGAATGTATTATCGCCCCAACCTTATTTTCCATCTCCATAGCTATGATTTTGCACTTTGTGGATGGGAAGCTTCAACTAGTGTGGAAATCACCTACTGAACAGATAGCAAACTATTTAACCTCAGCAGGCTGAAAGCCAAAACCAAGGTTACATCAACATCTATTATAGGACTCCAATATACTGATGATAATGTAGTCTGTGCTCATTCAGAAGAAGACATATAATAATATTTATTTATTTGATCAGTCATATGACCATTTCAAAATAGAACACGAGTAAAAAAACAAGGCAAAAAGGTGAGGACAGCAGCTGACTTTCTATTTATAGTCAGAATCTTATTTACCTGGTTCTTCTTTCAGGAAATCTGCTCTTTTCTTAATAGCTTTCAGAATAAAAAGGCTTACTCTGATTATGCTGAAGACATACAAGCCATTCTAAATACCCTTTTAGAAGCATACAAAAAGCTCAGCCTCTCATTGAACACTGAGAAAACCAAAGTGCTCTACCATCAGACACAAGCCAATTCCTCTGCAATGTCAAAAATCCATCTTAATGGTGTAATTTTAGAAAATGTTGACCATTTCCGCTACCTTGGCAGTCATCTCTCCACAAAAGTCAACATTGACACCGGAATACATCATCTGAGCTCTGCAAGTGCAGCATTTATTTATTTTTTTGAATGAGGCAGGGGATGCTTGAGGATCAGGACAATTCGTAGGGATACCAAGATGCTTATTTATAAAGCTGCTGTCCTCCCAACTCTGTTATATGCCTGAGAGACATGGACATCTATAAATGTCACTCACAACTTCTGAAATGATTCCATCAGTGTTGCCTCAAAAAATCCTGCAAATCCCTTGAGAAGACAGGTGGACAAATGTCAGCATTCTTGAAAAAGCAAAGACTACCAGCTTTGAAGTGATGATCCTCTGCCGTTATCTTTACTGGACTGGCCACATTGTCGGAATGCCTAATCTGTTAGAATGCCTGACCATCTCCCAAAACAGTTACTCTACTCTCAACTCAAGAATGGAAAAGAGAATGTTGGTGGGCAGCAAAAGATATTTAAAGATGGGCTTCAGGCTAACTTTAAAAACTGTGGCATAGACACTGGAGGTCAGCTATTACCTTGTCAGGACCACCTTCTATCTGGAAATCAATGTTCTCACTGAGATAGAACATGCAAGATCCCGAATAGGTCTCTATAGTCATCTATGGACCCACCACCAAGACTCTACACTTGGAAGGCAATCATACTCGGTTGCGAGTGATATCTGATGATGATGATGGTGACAACTATGGCCCCTGTTACTATGTGAATCCTATGAGCATCATATTTGTACCCTGTTGAATAATGATAGTGTGAACCAAAGTGATGTTGATAATGTTCCAAGGTTTTAAGACCACTATCCCTCTCTTTGATTTCTTTTAAAAATGCAAGCTCTTTAATAATTTCTCCAAGATATCAAAGGAGATATCAAAGGAGAACTGCATTTGTTCCTGTGTTATGCCACAGAGAAGAAACAGCTGATGAAATGATAATTCCATCCCTTTGCAGAAGTTTTTAAAAAATAAATTCAATTAGTAGTATGCACGTGTGCCACACACATCTGCAGTTTCTCAAAATGTAGAAATGGCTAAAGGGCAATGTTCTCAAGTTGCAGAACTCTGGAGAGACTAGATCCTGGCAATGAAAAAATAACTAATTCTCTGAATAGTTGAAAATCCAAATATTCATCCAGACAGACTATAACACCTAGTCTGACTACAATGGAATGTGTGTGTGAGAGAGAGAGGTGGGGGGGGGGGGAGGACTGTTAAAGTGGTTCTGTTTTCTATGAAAAATAGTCATATGTGAATTTAGCACAAAATAAGTTTTGAAGAGTAGATAATTGAAACTTTTGAAGGCTTTTTCACATTGAGAAGAAAATTGCTGAACTTTCACATTACTATCTTTAAGAAGAAAATCAGTAATTTATATTCCTAATTTCACAACTAGGATTGAGGAAAATTTATTTATTTATTTATTATTCAAATTTATATGCCGTCACTCCCCTGGGGCTCGGAGCAGCTTACAAGAACAGGCTAAAATCTAACACAATTTAAAAACAATTTAAAACAATTTAAAAGCAATTTAAAAACAACAATATCAAAGATCAAAGGCCTGTCAAAACAGATATGTTTTACATGCCCTGTGGAAAGCTGATAGGTCCCGCAAGGCACAGACTTCATGTGGCAGATTATTCCAGAGTGATGGTGCCACTGCTGTAAAGGCTCTGCATCTGGTTGCTGTTAGATGCAAGGTCTTGACACTGGGAATTTCCAATAAATCTTGGTCCTCAGAATGGAGGGATCTCTGGGGTTGGTAGGGGATGAGGCGGTCCCTCAGGTACATCGGCCCCAGACCATGCAAGGCCTTAAAGGTAAGTACCATCACTTTGAAAGTGATCCGGTGCTCATGTAGCTAGAGATAGATGAAGGGAAGTTAAGAGGGAAAGACTGTTGAAAGACTGTTGAAGTACTATCAATCAACTGCTATACTATAGACCTATAAGTTGTTGATATTGATAAGGCGCCGTTAATTTATTACACCTATAGTAATCTGAATTGTTCTTGCTCCCTCTGTCCCTCCCTTATACCCCTCCCTAATGATTCAGTAAATGAATGCAATACTGCTTAGAGATAGATGAGGGGAATTTTTAAAAGGGAGGGATTGTCGAAGTGTGATTAACTAATTGTACACATAACAGATTCATAGGTCGTTGATATCGAATTATTGTTCTAACCTCTGTACCTCCTTTGTACCCCTTCCTATAAAACTACGATTGAGTGTACTACCGGTATAATATCGGTCCAGAAGTGACCGAAAGAAACCCAAGTAGGAAGGACCGGCATGCGCACTAATTAACTGTATACATAGTAGGCCCATACTCGCCGAGGATATTGAACTGTTCTTTTTTGCAGATACTGAATCGTTCCATACCTCCTTTATTCCCCTTCCTAATAACTCAACAAAAGAACTTCTCAAAAATCAACAACGACAAATGAGAGGCGCAACAACTAGGCTTACTTCAAGACAAAAAAAAACATAACCATGGCTACTTTACAAAAAGGAAAACTAGACAAGGACAAAGACAAGGAAAAAGAACTGGAGAAAAAAACCCAACTCAGCGCAAGGAAAGCTTCTCTACCCGAAGAACCCACAATTAGAGACCTAATGAAAGAACTTTTAAAAATCCAAACAGAGATAAAGACAATACAAGATAATCAAGGCAACCAAGACGCACAAAGTAAAGCCATAAAGAAGGAATTAGAAACAATGAAGAAAGACATGAAAGACATGAAAGAAGAACTACAATCACTAGTCAAAGAAGAAATGACGGTAGTAAAAAAAGATGTGGAGAAACTGAAACAAGAAAACACAGAAATAACCAACACAATTAAGAACGATCAGGAGACAGTGAGGAAAAAAATAAGGAACCTAGAAGAAGCGACATATCGAGTCCAAAGCCAACAAGAAGCGATGGAAATCAGAGAGAAAGAGACACAGCTCAGATTTAGAAATGTAATAGAAGAGGAAGGAGAAAACATAAGAGAAGTAATAATAGATATGATCTCACAATTAATAAAGAAAAACAAGACGATGACTGAAACAGAAGTGGACAGGATTTTTAGAATACAAACTACCCACTCTAGAAAATTTAAAACTCCGAAAGACGTCATAGTACAACTCACAAAGAAAAACACACGGGACGAAATTCTTAAGGAGCACTCAAAATCCCCTATACAGTATAAAGGAAATAAAATTGTAATTCTGAAAGAAATCCCAACATCAGTACTAGAGAAGAGACGAAAATATTATTTCCTGACCGACAAATTGAAAAGAAGAAATGTGAGATTCAAATGGGAAAAAGCAGAAGGGTTAGTAGTATCCTGGAATGAAAACAAACACTGGTTAACATCAGAAGCCAAAGCGAGAGCTTTCTGGGACAAATATCTGAAAAAAAAGAACGAAGGAAAGCAAGAACTGGAGGAAGATGAAAAAGAGAAATCAACTCCCTACTCTATTGAGCAAGGACTCAGCGTAGCGAGGAGACTTACACTTCTAGACGAGGAAGACAACGAGAAAGGAAGGAAAAGACCAAGGGAAATATCCCCAAGAAACTACACCCCACAGAAAGAAGCGACCAAGTTAGACACCGAACACTTGAGGGACAGAAATAACAAGGATGATGGAAAGAATTAGAGTATACTCAAACAATGTTAATGGACTGAATGGTCCATGCAAAAGAAAGAAAATATGGCACCATTTAAAGAAATGTAATTACGACATAATTCTCCTGCAGGAAACACATATTTCCAATAAACATGTATCATATTTGGAACAAAAAACGTTGGGTAAATGTTATTGTGCGTCGAGCTTAGAAAAAAAAAGAGGGTTAGTAATGTACATTAAGGAAAACATCCCTTCAAAACTAGCATTTAAGGACTCTGAGGGTAGAATATTAGGAGTGTTAATAACAATTGAAGATAAAAAATTGCTGGCATGCAATGTGTATGCCCCTAACGATTCAAAAAACAAGTTCATCAAAACATTTTAAAAAAATATACTAGAAACAGAATATGACGATATAATGATAGTAGGGGATTTTAATGGGGTGCTGGACGCAACTATAGACAAGTCAATCCGAATAGTTAATACAAACCAGAAGAAATCAGGGACTCTCCCCAAACCTTTTATAGAACTAAAGGAAGAATTAGGGCTAACTGATGTATGGAGACACCATCATGAAAATGAGATAGACTATACATTTTACTCTAATCGACATTCAACATGGTCGCGTATTGACATGGTGTGGGTGTCCAACACGATGTTACCAAATGTGACTAAGAGCAAAATACTACCCATGTTAAATTCTGACCATGCCCCAATAGAGATACAAATCGAAAACAGACCAAAACGAGGGATGACCTTTAGATGGCGACTGAGTGATAAAATATTGGCATCCCCAGAAAGATTGGAAAAGAATAAAGAATTACTAAACGAATATTTCAGACTAAATACAGAAGAAGATACCTCAACCAAAGTCATCTGGGATGCTCATAAAGCATTTATAAGAGGTCACTTCATTGAACAAGCAGCAAGGATAAAAAAACACAGAAATGAAGAATATAAGAAAATAGAAAATGAAATTACTAGATTAGAGAACCATTTAAAATCAAACCCCAAAGATATAAAAATATCTCACCAATTAAACATACTGAGAAGAAATATAAATACATTACAGCTCGAAGAGATTGAAAAGAAATTGAAATATACCAAACAATACTACTTCGAAAATGCAAACAAAGTAGGGAGAGCCCTGGCAAGGAAGATCGCTGCTAAAAAACAAAGTAGACAAATAACAAAGATAATAGATGGAGATAAATGTTTTTACAGAACAAACGAAATCATAGATCAATTTACTACATATTACAAAAATCTATACAAGAACGAAAACATCTCTAAGGAAAAAATAATGCAATACTTAGCAAAACAAAGTATACAAAGAATCACGGACGAACAAAGAGAGAAACTAAACAACCCAATCTCTCAAGAAGAAATTCTAAGAGTAATCAAAAACCTCCCACTAGACAAAGCTCCTGGTCAAGATGGCCTAACCACAAGATATTATAAAACTTTTCAAGAAGTACTAGCCCCACAACTTCAGAAGGTTATGAATAAAATTATGGAAGAAGGAGAACTACCGGACACGTGGAAACTTGCAACAATTTCACTGATCCCCAAAAATAACACAGATAACACATCTGTTAGAAACTACCGCCCCATTTCTTTACTTAATATAGATTACAAGATATTTACAGCAATCTTAGCATCCAGACTAACCGAAATATTAACAACAAGTATAAGTGAAGATCAGGTTGGATTTCTGCCAAAGAGGCATCTGAGTGATAACATTAGAACAGTCATAAACGTAATCGACTATTATGAAAAGAATAACCAAAAAGAAGCTGCGCTCATGTTCCTGGATGCCGAAAAGGCTTTTGACCAGATCAACTGGGATTTCATCTTAAGCCTACTTAAAGAAATGGACATAGGGTATCAATACCTAAATGCAATCAGTTCTATTTACACCCAACAAGAAGCAAGAATAACAATTAATTCACAATATTCAGAAAACATACCAATCCAAAGAGGCACCAGACAGGGCTGCCCTCTATCGCCAATACTTTTCATAGCAACACTGGAAGTACTACTACGGAGAATCTCTACGAATAATGAATTGAAAGGACTCAGAGTAAAAAAGCACACCTTTAAAACAAGAGCATTTGCAGACGATATAGTCTGCTTTATAGAGAACCCCTTAGATAACATAAATGAATGGCTGAAGGAAATAGCAGATTTCGGTGAAGTGGCAGGATTTAAAATAAATAAAGATAAGACACAAATAATTACTAAGAATATGAAGAAAGAGGACAGAAAAAATCTGCAAGAAATGTCAGGAGTCAGAATAACACAAGAAACAAGGTACTTAGGAATAACGATAGCATCTAGCAACGCTCACTTGATAAAGAATAATTACGAAAAAAAGTGGAAGGAAATTAAAAAAAATCAACATCTGGAACTCCATGAGCCTCTCACTACTGGGTAGGATCGCTACTGTTAAAATGAATATTCTACCAGATGTCCTGTTCTTGTTCCAATCATTACCTGTTATAAGATCGAAAACTTTAATTAGTAATTGGCAGAAAGAAATCTCCAAATTCATCTGGAGAAATAAAAAACAAAGAATAAATCATAAGAATTTGTCCGACGACAAAAAAAGAGGAGGTTTATCCCTCCCAGACATCCAATTGTACTATGAAGCGGCGGCATTGCGCTGGTTGAAGGATTGGACGACACTGGATAAAAGAAAAATATTGGCCTTAGAAGGTTTCGACCTATTCCAGGGATGGCACGGATATCTGTGGAGGGGTAAAGTGGAGAAGGAAAAGAATTTTAGGAATCACCCCACAAGAGCGGCTTTACATCAAGTATGGAGCAGATATAAGGACAGACTATATAGGAAGACCCCCCTTTGGTTTTCGCCAAATGAAGCGCAACACCTGAGAGAGCTGCCCAGAGAAAAGTGGCTAACATACACCCAGATATTAAAAATCAGCCCCAGAGAGACAAAATTAAAAACCCAGGATGAACTCAAATCAATTGATAAGACCATCACATGGTTTCAATACCAACAAATTCTAGAAAACTTCAAATTAGATGCAAGACTGGGATTCCAAATAAAGGAAACCTTCTGGGACAAGATAATAAAAACGGAGGTCAAGTTGATTAAGAAAATATATCGACAATTGTTAATTTGGGCAACCGAAACTGAGCAGGTAAAGGGGAATATGATTCAATGGTCTAGGGACATAGGTAGAGCAATAAACATGTCTGAATGGGAGGAAATTTGGCATCACAAAATTAATTACACATACGCATCTGAAATAAAAGAAAACTGGTATAAATCATTTTATAGATGGTATCTCACACCAGACAAGATAGCAAAATTCAGCAAAGGGAAAATTAAAGATACGTGTTGGAAATGTGGAAAACACAAAGGTAATTACATCCACATGTGGTGGAAGTGTAGCAAGATAAAAGCTTTCTGGCGCAACATTAGTAAGATAATAGAACAAATAATAAGCGAAAAAATAGTATTCAAGCCAGAGGCCATGCTGTTGGGAATCACAGATTCTATTAAAGATAAGAATGCAGATAAACTTTTCTTCTACCTCACCACAGCAGCAAGAACAGTGATAGCCAGAGTATGGAAATCTAAAGAACTCCCCACAGTGGACCAGTGGTTGTTGAAAGTATGGGATATAATGAACATGGACATATTAACGCAAAAAATATCCCGGAACCCAGTGAAACCACAAAGGACCAACTGGACAAATTTTATAGAGTACATTAAAAGAACAAATAACGAAATGTATATCAGTATGGAATTGTAAACAATCTCAAAGGTATAACAATAAGAAGCCGACGAATGAAGCAGAAACAGATCTAAAAGACATAACAATGTCCATTACTAGAGCACCCGCTCAGGAATTCCTGGAAGTATTTTTAAAGTCACATGGTGATGCAGTCATGGGTGCATCTCCTTACCCCCTCTCCTTTTCCACTCCCCCCCTTTTTTTTTTAATTTTATCTACCCATTTCCCTCATCTCTTCTTTCCCCCTTGTTTTCACCCACGTTGTGTACTACCTATCCCCCCTCCCTTCCCAGCCAATCTCTTTCCCCTCCCTCCCCCCCACATCTCCCTCTCGATTACCTTATAAAAACCAATTCAAAAACAACTGCCCTGAGAAGTGAGGAATGGAAGAACCTAACAAAGGAAGAATAAGAGGGAGATACCTAAACTGGAGGAGGACGAGGCGAACCAGATCTCGGGGAGGAGGGGGAAATTTTTTCCATATTGTAAATATGTCTTACACGGAGTTTATGTTTACTGTTTAGTTATGACTTGTTACGAATCATTATGGAATCCTGTCTTTGTACTTTGTCTCGTCTTCTCCTGTAAATGTTATGTGTTTCACAACTATTATTATTATTATAAAATTAATAAAATTCATATAAAAAAAAAAAAAAGAAAGTGATCCGGTGCTCAATTGGTAACCAATGCAGCTGTAGTAAGATTGGTGTTATGTGGCATCTCATCGGAATTCCCGCAAGAAGCCAAGCAGCTGCATTTTGTACTAACTTGAGCTTCCGGATCACTGACAGAGGAAGGCCAATGTAGAGGGCGTTACAGTAGTCCAGTCTTGAGATGACCGTGGCTTGGATCACCGTAGCTAGGTCATCCCTGGACAAGTAAAGGGCCAGCCGTCTAGCCTGCCACAGATGAAAAAAGGCAGTTCTGCTAACGGCGGAGACCTGGGCCTCCATCATCAGCAGAGGGTCCAAAAGGACTCCCAGACTCTTTACCAATGATGACGGGCGTAGCGCCTCACCATCCAGGGTAGGTAGCTGGATATCCCCACTGCCTGGTTGACCCAGCCATAGGATGTCCGTCTTTGCTGGATTCACCTTCAACCTGATGGCATGCAGCCATCCAGTAACGGCCTCGAGGCACTGATGGAAATAATTGGGTACAGAGTCCGGTCGGCCCTCCATCCTCAGCATCAGCTGAGTGTCATCAGCGTACTGGTAACACTCAAGCCCAAAACCTCGAACCAGCTGAGCAAGTGGTCGCATA